GCTACAGAACTTATCCAGCTGAGCTCATTTCTCGCTAATGTAGACACAGGCTTTGAAAATACACAAAGTAACATGAAACAACAAGTACTATAGCTTATATTTGCCATGTAAGAGATTAGTCTTCTTTGTTCTGTCTCACCACTGTCTGGAAAAAAGGCTTTCCCTGTAGACACTCTTCATGTTTGCAGATCTATGAGTGTCTGAGTGAGGAGGGAATAGATGAACAGTCAGAAGAACTGTGAGCACAACATTTTTCTCTCTGTGCGTCTCCTGAACTACTATTTTCAGCAGCATTATGAAAGAACTACAGGTTTCTTAGTTACTCTTGTGCATGTAGAGTTACTTTAGAGAGATTCCATAGATTCCCAAAACTTGCAATTGCTGCCCTGCCAACACCTCAGTGCAAGCCATGTAAATAAAGTCATTTGGTTACACTTAGACATGAGGTTTTTCTTATAGCAGATCACAAAATTGTGGCTGTGAGCAGTGTAGTACATTCACAAAAGCAAGTTTAACTATTTCTGATATTTTAATAGTAAATGTTTCCTGACTGGCTTCAGCAATTTGTATACTGCCCACTGCTAATGGCACTCACAGAGCTCCAGCAAAGTGCTCTGCATGACACATGATGTGAAAAAAAAACAACCCACAAAAAAAAACCCAAAAAGAAACAAAAAAAAAAAAAAAAACCTACTTCTGCTGCTTAAACTAAGTCTACACACAACTTACATTATTTATTATAGTGCTGGAATAAAATACATAACATGCTGTCATGCATAATACATGGTAAGAACATGCATTAGTTCAACTTTACAGTACAGGGCCAGTAAATCAGGACAGCAGTGGCAGGTGCTGACAGCTGCATATCTGCCTGAATTCCCAGAAACAGCAGCAAGAAAGAAAAAAAAAGTAAAATCAGCTGTTTAAAACACTCATGAAATGGTGACTCATTTTGAGTTAACCTTGCAAAAAACAAGCAAAACCCAGTGATCTCTTTCCCACCTAGTTTAAAGAAACTGAATTCAGCACCTGAGTTGAGACCGTGCCCCAAGCAAGGTGACACTGCTAACTTGACAGAGCCCGCTGCTCCTCAGACCTGGGTCAGCACCAGCACTCTGCCATTCCCACAGAAGGTGAGAACAGAGCAAACTTCATGCTGTGCAAATCAACTGGAGAGTGCACGTCATGCAGTGGGACTGCATGAGCCTACAAAAGCTGGGGGAGAGAAGCCAGGGATGCCACACAGATTATTATGTTTTCCACAGAAGCCTTATCTTTCGCTGGGGAAAAATGGTGTCTTTCTCCTTCACTTTGTTTCTGGAGGGTTTGCCTAGAGGCTCTAGCGCAGAACAAACACAAGAGACTTCTGTGGATTATGCAATACAAAACTTACAAAAAGCTTGTTTTTCTCTGTGTCATTAGCTATACACCGAAAATACCCAGAGAAATGTACATGAACCCGGTGGCTGACTATTCACCATATCATTATTCACTCCCCCGTGGTTAAGTCACATTCCTCTGTACCCTCTTAGGAACGAAGGAACAGAATGAGGCACATCTGCTGAAAATGAAACACTTTCTGCTCAAAAGAGCTAACTATGCCTAGTCAGGAAAAACAGTTCTTTTTTAGTAAATTCACCATTTCCTGATGTACGCTGCACATGGCAATGACCGCAGAGACCTCTCTGTAGTCCTGTGGCACTGACACCAGGGTTTCACTCTGCAGGGTACCCTCAGGTTCATCATAAACAAATCTCAGACTTGCTCAAGCCCAAACACAGAGCCTCTAAACACGTATGCTCTTTCTGAACCACATACTGAAAAAAACTTGTCAGCAACATTTAAGCATCAATACGCAAAGCGGTAAGGGCACCATCCAGTTATAATTCATGAGTGATGACTTCATAAATTTTACCTACCTGGACATTTCTTCTGTTTGAGAACTTGTGATCTGCTGGCTGGCTGCCTTTGTGTACGACCACACTTCTGTCTAAACCTCCAAGTGTTGGATGGTCTCCTCCTTAACATCACTATCTTCACAGAAAAACTGCTTACCAGAGTACTCAGAAGTGCAAAAATTGTACTGGGATTGGTGCACTACTCACTATCTGAACTTGCCAAAATGATTTCTGTTAGTTTTGAAGTCAGTCCTCAGAAATGCTTAAATCAGTGAGTCTTTAACTCACAATTCAAATAGTAACAGGCTGACTTCTTCATCTGTGGTGTTGCTCATACAGAAATTTTGACAACACACAACATTCCTCTGCCTTTTCCTGCAAGGGCATTTTCTCCTTGGTGGTAATTACCATCAGAGAGAGTGGAGCAAATCTATAGCTAAAGGCATTCAGAGAAACAGAACATCTGGAAAAATACTTGCAGGAGAGATCAAGGGATACTCCTCTCTTGAAGAATTTTGGGGGCATTTTTTAAAAGTTGGAACATATCTGCTCCTCAGTAGGACTTTTTCCTCAATCCTTCCTGCTTACTGATGTACCTGATACAAGGACTCTGCAGATGGAGTCTCCCAGCCCAGATGGGAAGGGAATTTGGCTGGAAACTGCCATTTTCTTTCTGCTAAGAGGCCTTGATAGAAGCAGAGGGAAGTGATCTGGACATCTTCTGGGGATGAAAAGGTTGACGTTATTTTTGCTACATTGTTTTGGAAAAGAAATTCCAGATGTTTTTTCTTCTTTATTCAGTTAATTAACTGTGAATTGGTAATCAGCTGATTAAAAAGATAGAAGAAAATTTCTGCTCCTATTCAAAACTTCTTTTTCTGAAAAATAAAATCAGAAGGTAATGCAACATGAAATGTATTAAAATTTAAACTTTTAGTAAGATGAAGGCTATGGCAAGCTGAGAAAAAAATATATTTTTTAAAAAGTATTTTGAACAGTCAACTAAATTATGGAAGAAACGTCTGGTGACGACTTAGCTGACTAATGGAAAAAAAAATAAACACCAAATTATTTGTAAGTATTCCTCTAATAGCAACAAAGTGAAGATCTATTTTGAAAACTTAAGGTAAACTCCCTGCTTGTTCCATACTCATAACTAGTTCATTAAAACAGGACTGCTTGAATGAATAAGCAATTAGGAACTGATTACATTCAGGTAAATTGTAGTAGGCTTTACTTTAAAGAATTAATAAATGATTCTCAGCTGATGTCTTAACTGCTCTCAGAAGGTGAATCAAGATCTCTTATCATACAGCCAAGCAGTGAAATTTTTTCTTCAGTACCACAGTGCTGATTTGTAACAAATTTCTATAAAGTCATTTCTTTGTAGAATCATCTTCAACACAGTGGTCACAGTTCCTTAATCATACAATAAAAATCATGCAAATACGTGTTCAGTTTATGCTAAAGACAGGCTTATTTAAATAATGGAACCGATGTTCATTTACTGTACTGTTAATGAAGTCTGACGCAGTGGTTCTAAAAGCAGATCTCTCACCACAAATCCAAGCCTCTCTACAAACAGGGAGCAACACTTTTACTTTTGGTCTGTGACAACCACACTCTAATGGTCTTCTCTATTTTGCTGTATGTTTTACTGTTCCTAGAGCTATATTTTTCTTAGATACTCGTAGCACAAGATGTTACTTCATACTGCATGCAAGCATTCTACAAAGAGCTGCAGCACAAAACTCAGTTTACAATGCACTGACAAGCTGTAACTGCCTTAAAAATTTTCTCAGGCTTAAAAACTGCCTTGCATGTGAATGTAATTCAGGCAGAATTCTTACACTGTGTTTCCTGAAGAGAAAGTCTACACTTTGTGAGAATGCTTCCCATGTAAGTCTGTTCAGCCCAACTGCACTCCCTGTGCAGCACTTTCTTTGTATCATTCACTTTGCCCAAACACTTTCTAAACCCAAGTCCAGATTGACTTTTCAGCCCCTCTTCCCACAGAGGGGTTTAGATTGCTCCATGTTTCCCTGTACAAAATGTGGGACATTGCTCCTAATTCTGCACGCCTTGCTTTTTTCAAATCCTGCATTACAATTTCTTTATTAGATTTCTGTCTATCCAGCCATCCATCTGAACTGGAAAGATGAATATGTATATAACAATAAATCTAGCTCGCTGTCTTTTACTACTACAACCCTTCATGCATCCATGACCCTTTCACCACCGGATTTTATCCTGCGGTATATTAGGCTATGATTGGTTTTAAACTCCAGGGACAAGAAGCAGCCACTTTAAAAGTACTATTTTTATATTAGAGCATTGCCTGTAACCTTCAGATACGTTAGGCATCTCTTCTACAAGGCAGTATACAAATGCAATACATTGCAAATCTCAGTATCTGTCTCAAGAGCTTACAAGAAAGTCAGTCAGTCAGGGAGTAGGAAAACATCATTGTTCTCTTCTTCCAAGCAGGCAGATGAGACATCAAGTCACAGAGGTCTGGGACAGAGTCTGTATTTCGATATAGATATTTATCTCCTATTGTAACAATGGCCCCAGCCTTTGGCATCCAGCACGAACACTTACGGCACTAAACAGTGAAAGATAAGCTATATTAAAAATAAAATCAGTAAGTTACATTTACAGGAGAAAACACAAAGGGCAAGAGGCTTTATAGCTTAGCATCACCTAACAGGAAGAAGAAACCAACGGTCAGAAGGAGGGAAACTGGTAAAGAGATTTTTTTCCCATCCTCAAAGAGTTGCAGCTGATGATGAGAATATACATATGTCATGAACATATAAAATATAGATTTATATGTACAAATATACAATAGGAAATAGTATACAAATACTTACATGTAAAAATATCTTTTTTACTTTCCCCTTTTCATGATTTACAAAAGCATACAAAGTTTCCTATTGGTTAATGTTAAAGTAGTGAGTAAACCCTGTGTGTTGTGTTCCACACGTAATTCTTTCAAGTGTTCACAGTATTGGCTATTACAGTGTTGAATCTCACATTCCAGATGTTAAAATACTCTTAGGACACATTCTAAACTTAAAGCATTCATTTAAATACCGTTTAAATAAAATTCATGGTCATATTACAAATGAATCTGCTGCAGTTGAAAACTTTCTGTGAGAGTAAGCTTGGAAATGCATGTTTCAACTAGAGATGAGTATATTTTAAAATTCTTGAACTGCTTCTTGATGTGTAGATAATACAAAGTGGTGAGTTCTTTCAACTCCATCTGAAGCAATGCAGCTAGGGGAGCTTAGTATTACAAATTATCCTCAGTAGGAAGAAGGACACACAGAGCAATCTGCCGTCAGATCCAGACATGCCATCACTTTCTTCAAATACCCAACGGACAAGAATAAATGACAGGTACCATTGTTTTTGTGGTAAGAATGAATGCACCGTAGCAATCTTTATCAGCAATGTGCTTTATGGATTCATATTAATCCTCACAACTCCCTTGTGAGGTAGATGGTATCATCCCCATTTTTAAAGATGGAGAAGCTGGAAAGATAAATTATGGTGGCTAGAAGGAAATACTGTCAATACTGCCTTTGGATGTTGGAGCAACTCAGAGGCATAACTGGAGAAAATGGAGATGCTCATGTGACAGCCTTACTCTAACCAGCTCGGATACTGACAGCAGGTTAGTTACACCAACAAAAGGTTCAGTGTGGGCTATAAAAGAGAGCCCAGTTCCACACTGCTGGAGCAAAACTGTTGGATAGCACTTTCAAAAAACATAAAACACATCATCCAAGATGGTACAGACTGATCAAGACGGAATGAAGCTGCATTTTAGAAGGTATGAATTAACCCAGAACCTTGAGCAAGTAATATTTTCTGATGAGAGCTGTGTGCAGTTTAAGAACCACGTTTAGCTCATCTCTAATTTTAGCATATACCCAAGCTGCATGTGAAAGTATTGAGATGTTTTTTAACATTTGCTCACTCACAGAAAAGACAACTAGACTTTGGAAGTCCGTATATTTCTTCATATTTCCTTTGTGGGAAATTCCAGCTATTATCACAAGTGAAACTATTTCTGCAGTACTTTTGGAACAGCAATTGAGCCGCAGATATTAATTTTGATTAACTAAGGTGATGGACAAGTTTTAAAGGACAACCAAGTCCCCTGTGTACATCTGCAAACACAGGAAATCTCATCTCTTTTTAACTACTGAAGAAAAATCCAGTTAAAGCATAAAGTGCATTGGATGGAGTAAAACCCTTAGAAATAACAAGCAATGTGTCTGCCTTCCACAGTTTGGTTAACTTTGCTTAACAGCTGAACCATCACCCACTTTGTCTCCTGGTTTTAATTTACTGTTATCCAGGCTGAAAAAAGCCTGCCAGATGTAAGCAAAATTATTGTAAACGGACACAATTTTGTAATATTATGCTATTCAGGGGGAGTTAAGAAAACCAGTATCAAGATACCGTCCAGTTGGGGTGTGTAAATATTATTGTGTGTTTCTTGGCCCACTTAGCAAATACTTTCTTTTCTGTGATAAACCTATGGCCTCCATATGGAGCATTTTCATGCAGAAAGTATTCTTCACACTCATCTCTTCCTGGCTCGTAATAATGGTAGGGAACTTTGCGAAAGCCTTCTGACCTAGGGAAAGAAAAGAGAGACTTAAGAATCATTTCCAAGAACATCATTAATATATACTGCACCTGAATTAACTGAAATCCTTCCCATTTATTGGCACTTCAGCTCCTTCTCTAAGGGCTTTAATTATGGCACAGTTTGTATGAATTGCACTTTAGAAACAGAAGCTAAGTGTACCTCTCAGCATACTGCTGGTGCTGGTATCAGTCTGCAAGAAGCTGAGGGGACAGCTCTTCTGGGTGTTACATATTTACTTTGGCCATGAGGAACTATTAGTCCACAAAGCTCCATTCCTGAAGTGTACTCATTGAGTAGTTCAAAATATTGAAACTGGTCCTTGGACTGGATGAATAAGGTAGTTAGAATCAACGACACTCCAAGTAGGTGATGCAGGCAGAACTGCAGCTTTGAGGAAACCCAACCTTATCTGCTGTCAACAGACTTAAGTGTTATCCACAGCATTAAGTGGTTTTACATCCTGGCAGTGGCAGCTCAGCTGAACTCAGCGAGGACAACTTCAGTTCTGCCACTCCTCATCTCAGGGCACCTAGTGTGTTTTCATAAACAAAGAGCAACATATGTTCATTCCATCTGGATGACTCAGTCAGTGGGATCTGCAAATTCTAAAAAGTCTCTCTCTGCACTTATGATATCCTAATTAAACAGCTGTGACTCAAATGCCTTTTCTGGGAGCTGGTCTACTGGAATGACTGCCACACTGGAGTGATGCAGAATACGAAGTGAGGGTCTGCATGACCTTACTCTAGGAGCTGGGGACCCTCTGCACTGATTATATGCAGGACACGAACCAGCCTAGGTACAGAAAAATAGGCTTAGATTAACATCATTTATTGTTTATGACATTTCCTGCTTTTGTGAATGAGGAATTGTTTCATTTTATATTTGCTGCCTTATACTGTAGGTTCAAGCATTTAACTTGGACTTTTAAAAATAGTGTTTATAGTTATACTTCTGACAATAGAATTAATCCATTGTCACTGTAAGGTCACTAACAGTAGTTGGTTGGAATTTATGTCAGTTTACTGTGATAAAGCCTGCAGGACTTGTTTTATTATCTAATTAGAAACCCCCTACTACTCCAAACAAGCCATATATAAACTAGAAAGTTCAAGTAGGTTGCTCAATGGTGGTAAAATGTAATTTCAGGTAACAATCCAGGGTAATCAGTATCTTTCATTTTCAGGTGCAGTTGGCATACTGAGAACTAGCACATTAGTATTTCTTCTTTAGCAGTAAAGTACATTTCATCAAAATAGCAAGATACTTTATTTCTAGCTAATTCAGAAACTACAGAAGATCTTCAATTAAAAATAGTTCCTTACAACATCTGATATTGGGTTTTGTAAGTGTTTTTATTTTAATCAACAGCAAATGCCATATCAGTACTAAGTATGCTGACAATATAGCCTTACATCAATGCAAAACACTGGGAAATGGCTGCCTGATCCATTTTTTGGGGATTTATGATGTTAAGATCAATTGTGAAATTTTGACAAGACATCAGCATTGTAGATGCATGAAAATAATTTCCTGTGATCTTACTTGCAGTAGGTGTCATTTATCATCCCATAGACGTGAATTCCATAGCAGGCATCCATAGCCAAAATTAAGGTAAACCAACCCGTACTGAGATATGAACCTGACTGGACTCTGTAAAAATACAACATACAGAAAATAAATTGCAATGAGAAATTACCAACACTTTATCAAAGAAATGTAATCTATTACTTGGGACAAAAGACATTAAGCAACTTGACAATCTGTCAAAACTACACAATTATTTTGAATTATTTATAGATACACTCTCATTCTTGCCAGCTTGAGGCCTCCAGCTATTGTCCACAGAAAAAAAAACCTTCAAAGTTAAAATCTGAAGTCAAACAACGCATCTCCCATTAGACAGAAAATTATTTATTTGTACATCCAAAAGATAACAATTACTAGATGTATAACCAAGATGTTATAATCAGAATATAATTGTGTATAATCAATAGATATCAAGATGTTATAATCGCAATATAAACAAGAGAGTAAGGCAAAGCAGACAACGATAACAAAAAGAGAATAAGTGGAAGAGCTTACCCTTCAGGTTGAGCTCACCAGAAGACACCAAGAGAGGTGATCTCCAGAAGAGATCCTTCCCCTCTGGTAGCCAGCTCTTAAATAGGTCCAGGAGAGGTGCAGCCTGGCTCCACCCCTTCCGGCAGCACAGGTGAATTGCCTTCAGCTGTGCTCCTCTGGCTGACTCAAGGCTCACCTCAGGTGATTAATCAGAGGTTCAGGCTGTGACTCAGCAGTTCCCATACACTAGAGCTTGTAAAATAAGATTACGTTCATCAGAAAGCAAACTACTGGCAGAGTTTGAGTTGCATGTATGTGGGTATTCACCATTCTCTTCCACAAGCAGAGCTTTACATCCCCTGCCTGAAAATTTGCACAGAGATTAAAGCTTTAAAGCCATTTTGGTGGAAAGCCAAATGAATATATGGATGATATAATTAAGAAATATACAAGAAAGTTAGGCTAAACAGGTTATCGTGCTAAAGCAGAGTGGATGGAAAGCTCAACCTTGTCCTAGGCTTGCTGAGAAGACTCCAAGAGGAGCAATCTCCAAAAGAGATCCTTCCCCCCTGGCAATCAGCTCTTAAATGGGGTCTAGGAGAGGTGGAGCCAGGCTCCATCCCTTCCAATAGCACAGGTGAATTGCTTTCACCTGTGCCCCCAGGGCTGACTAGTTTCTCACTCAGGTGATCAATCAGATGCTCTGGCCATGATTCAGCAGTTCCCATACAGCTTTACACAACCTTGTGCTATCATTAAGACAACAAAGCAAAGAGAAAGCACAAGACAGCAGTGCCCAAATTGATAACCTTTGCTGAAATAACCAGTTCCATTAAATCAGGCCAAAAGTATTACCTGCATGAGTGAGAACAAATGACACTCAAGGAGTTGACTCACGTATTGGCTATGTAAGCAAATGTGTCAAACAAAACATTGTTAATTACAGACCAAATCTTGTTCACTTTACTCACACAAATGTTACTAATGGTGGACAGGGAGTCAGCAAAACTACACATATAATCTGAGCAAGCAATACATACTGCTTTACTTTGTAAATAAGAACTCAGCACTCAATGTTTACAAGCAGGTTGAAATCCTGCTTTGCACATGTATGGCTTTCAGTTTGTTTGAAATCAATGAAAATCATTATTTTGAAATTATAAATAACTTGTCCAATTTCCAAGAAGTCATAGCCCTAGCTTGAGTTAATAAGTGTGAGAGAACTTGCTATGAGTGAGAGGAGGGGATAATTTAACTTTATGCCATATCTTCCAGCTTTTAGCTCTGGGTACAGCAGGGAGCAGTCTGTTCTCCATCATAAGTTAAAGTAACCTAAGGTTTGCACTCAATTAAGTTTGGCTACAGGAGAACTCCCATGTAGGCCTACGTGCAAATCAGGTTTTCCCAGCAACAATATCTTCTGAAAACATTTTCATCCTGGTGTAGGAATAAAGCCTTCATTTGGAAAAAAAACTGGATAGATAGATAGATAGATAGATAGATAACATAAAGCAACACATCCAGCCTATAAATTCTAGCTTTTCTGTGAGACAGATAAAAGATCTTTGGGGGCTTCTTCCCAATTCAGAGCATGGATGTACCTTGGTAACCTCCGGGTAAATCTGCCAATCAGAAGCTTTTAGCTCAGATTCTCTGTTACTTCCTTGCAGTTTGACAAAATACTAAGAACATGGGTAAAAGTCTACATGTACAAACTTTATAATGACATTTACCTGACACATATGAGACTGAGATTCAAAGTCCTGCCCTGGTGAATGCTTACTATTATGGAAATTAGACTCCAAGAACTTCACATTCCTAAAGAAACTCTAGCTCTTCAAACAGATATTGTTATTTCAGTAAAAAACAACTATCTTAACCCCCACAGAGTTCTTCTTACACAGGAACACTCACACAACTCAAGGCTACATCTTCCATTCCTTGCACATGTCAAGCACTCCTCACAGCTTAGACAGAGTGAACTTCTATTCTTACTCTTTCCAAAAAGTCTTTTCCTTGGGGAACCTCTTCTGTGGAACTGACTTTATTGAGTAAAGGGCCATTCTGGAAGCAAGAAATAAAGGGTTAACAGTGCTGAAAATGGCCAATGGGAATAGAAGGCAGGGTGTTAAATATTCATTTTTCCTTAGATGGAGACCAATTGTAATTACATTTTTTAACTTGACATAGTATAGCCTCAAAACTGTACATTTGTTTGTCTGTTCCTTTAGGATCTCCATTTCTTCAAACAGAATGTTTCTCAAAGAGAATTCCCAACCCATTTCATGTTACTTCAGAGTAGCATCCTGCCATGATAAAAAGCTGCATTGCTTCTAACTTGCTTCCTGCTCTTGCACCAGAACACTACTCTTGAACTTTTAAAGCCATTTAAAATCATAATAATCATTTATAAAACACTATGAAGATCAGGATCCTTCCAATAATGGATATTTATTGGAGAATATTATATTGACAATAACATCTAAAATTTGCTATACTCAGGAGAAAAACAGAATTTTAAAAAAGAATTAATCAATATTTCACGTCCTGTTTTAACATCGTTGAACCTTAGTCCTCTCATCTATATACTACAGTGGCAGAATAAATAAAAACAGGAGAGTGAGTTTCTAGATACCTTCCCTGGGAGATGAAATACATGACAGAATATAGATTATGTGTTTTAAAACAAAGCACTTATATTCCTCTCTTTTTTTTTTTTTTTTTCCTCTGAAGAGACACAGGAATATGAGGGAATACTCTTACGTAGTGGGGACTCTGATGATTTGGTAACACCTTAGAATTCAATCTGTTACTGTAAACGTACTTTCAAAATTCCAGTGAAAGCAATATTAGAAGTGTGAAAACAATTTTAGCTGTCCTTAAAAAGTCATAAATCTTGGAATACCTTTTAAAATATCATCCCATAAAACTGTACTGCAAAGCAGTGTCTCAGCCCTTGCTATTATGCTAACACCATGCATGCAATTTCTTTCTCTACAGGAGAGGTTTTTTTGGCCAGGGCTTTTTGAGTACTATGTGAGAGTTCCTCTTGTTACTGTAATTGCTCTGAAATTTCAAATTTTACTTTTACATTAGAAGTAAAAGAATAGCATACATAGCATCTATGTTACTGCACAAATCTGAAGGTAGAAGAACATTCATCTCCAAATAGGGGAAATAAGAGTTCGCCAAGAGTCATCTGTAGAAGTACAAAAAAAAAAAAAAAAAAAAAAAAGCATAGGCAAATGTACTGTGATATATGTGCATGCAGCAAATCCAGAGTTCTTCCCTATGGCTCCGAGTGACTTTTTCTTATACGGTAAAATTAATGGGGCACCAGATCTAGGCAAGAAATTGTCTCAACAGCTGAAGAGAAACTAACGCACTATTTTTCAAGAAACGCATTTAAAGAAGGATGATTTTGCTTTCAAGAAGTGATTTACAGCTGGGTGCAGTAAGAAAGAAGCAATGCTCACAACAAGTTACTTTGTCGGTTTTTGTTGAAAAGGAAAGTTTACTTTGCATACCTCCTACATTACAAGGATTCTTAAAGAAATGTGTTACTGGGATGTAATTTGTTCTGCTAAATATCATCCAGCATATGCTTAACATTAAACAATTGAAAAGACCAATTAAATCAATTTAATTAAGATGCTTAAAACAAAGTATATGCTTGTCTATCTTGCTCTTATTGAAAGTTTAACTGTTAAACATGTCATTATCTTATCTCATAATATAGAAGTGCCAAGATTACTTGTTATTTGCAAATGGCAAAACGTATAGTTTGCACTTTATCTCTGGTTTCTCACAACATGCTAAGACTTTTCTTCTGTATTTAAGAAGAAAATGGTAAAAATATATCTACAATTATTAGATTTGTCATGTGTGATACAAAAAATTTTAATTAAAAATAATTTTAAGTACAGGCAATTAGACAAAGTTCTTTTGCCTCGGCTTTCTGATATTCTACAAAAAGCATATGAAATGGATATAAAGAAGATGGAGTACAGAATGCCTCATAAAAATACTGCAGACTGAAATTCATCTTGACACCTATAACCATGCTTTGATGTCGGATAAACGAAGGAAAAACTGGTTCTTTCTTTCATCAGAGGAAAATGAAGGTATATTTTTTTAATGCTCAAGTGCATGTGAGTTCAAATTGGGTAAAATTTTTGCTGTCACTTGAGTTCTGATTTTACCATAAGATTCCAGGAGGCTATTTTCTTTATTCGGTTGTCCCAGGCCTTTTATGCGGACAATCAATTCTAGCTCTATGGTTCAGTGGATTGTGATTTCCAGTGAGGAGTTTCATGTTAAAATTTAAAATTGAAAAAAAAAAAAAAAAAAGTTTGTTAAGGTGGAGACAATCAGTAGAAAAGTAATTTCATGTCAATCTGATTCCAGAAAATTATTTAGGAGCTTATTTTTTATTCTTTCCTCGGAGAAACCAAAGAGCACAGAAGGTCAGTAGAGAGTGTTAATTAAGGGGAGAATCTAAGAAATTTCGGACTTCAAGAAGCTATTAAGCTGCAGCCAAAAGTATTAACTAGACAAGTTTTTTCCTCGTTTGAAAATATTGAAGTAAA